GTCAATCACACATTCTAAAAATATTTCATTATGAAATTCATCTATTTGCCCTAGCATATCCTCCAATCTAAAATTATTTTTGTATTTGAAAAAAGGGGGGTAGGCTTATTCTGCCGCAGAAACAAGGGGAAGGAAAAATAAAGGGGAACCCTTTAAAAAAAAACAAAACACTGAGTATAAAGAGAAATACAAGCTACCTTAAAAGGTTACTTTAAAAAGAGGTTTGTATCCACCTAAGTGGAACCTATCTGAAATTGAAGGGCCCCGAGTTACCTACCTATCAATGAGCCTACTCTCGAGTAGGACTAACAACATGGGAAAGCAAGGCGGGTTTTTTGGGGGGGGAAATCTCTCCCACCCACATTATTAAGGACCAGCTCAAAGCTCAGGAGCCCCATATTTTTAATTTTAATTATTTTCTTATTAATTCCCTGGCCACAACATTAGCAAACCCCTGGAAGGAGGTTTTACAGAGCTGCTTTAGTTTGCCCTTTTAGCTTATATGCTTCCTTTCCAGGCCTCTCCTAGGCCTGGGCCTCTCCTCGCTACCGGCCCCGCTCCCTCTCCGTAGGCCTCCAACCCCACAGCAGGCCCGGCGGCCTCCCCGGGGCCTAAGCCGCGCTTCCCCCGCGGCCTTACCCGGCCCCGCGTTTCGCCCCAGGCCCCCCGCTTCCCCTCAGCCCAACCCCAGCCTCCGATGCCTCACCATGTTGGCGGATGGCGCCGGATTCTCCGGAGGCGCTTCAGAAGGGGCAGGGGGGAAAAAGAAAGGCCGGCAACAATGGCGGCGGCTCGGGTAGCCCTGTCTCGTTGGCAGGGGCCGAGCGGGCGGAAGAGGACGCTGACGTCAACAAGCTGCCTTTTATAGGAGCCGGCAAGGGGCGGGCGGTGGCTCGCAGGGGGAGGAGGAGGGGCCTAGGGAAGGAATCCGGAACACGGCCGCTCTAGCCCCTTCGACGCAGCTCTTTGGTCTTAGAGGCGGGAAAAAGAGGACAGAAGGAATGTTTGGACGGTTCTCGCGCTTGCGCAGTGAGAACTTTTTGATCAGTGCGGAAGTGAGCGGGCACGCTGCAGTCACGTGGGTGCGGTGCCTGATTGCAAAGGGGAGTTAATGAAGAAACTGCTGTATTTTTTATTTATGGTAATAAAGGAATCATATTAGCATTGATTTTTATTTTTATTTATGTGTGGTTATTGTATCCCATTCGCAGGCATTTTATATTTTAAAAATAATAATCATTTGTACCTATTTTCATTGATTATTTTTTAAAAAACCTCTATTTAACCTAGACAGCGTCTTAAAAAACAAAGACATCACCTTGCCAACAAAGGTCCGTATAGTTCAAGCTATGGTTTTCCCAGTAGTCATGTATGGAAATGAGAGCTGGACCATAAAGGATGATCACCGAAGAATGGATGCTTTTGAATTCTGGTACTGGAGGAGACTCTTGAGAGTCCCATGGACTGCAAGAAGATCCAACCTCTCCATTCTGAAGGAAATCAGCCCTGAGCGCTCACTGGAAGGACAGATCCTGAAGCTGAGGCTCCAAGACTTTGGCCACCTCATGAGAAGAGAAGACTCCCTGGAAAAGACCCTGATGCTGGGAAAGATGGAGGGCGCAAGGAGAAGGGGACGACAGAGGACGAGGTGGTGGGACAGTGTTCTCGAAGCTACCAGCATGAGTTTCACCCAAACTGCGGGAGGCAGTGGAAGACAGGAGTGCCTGGCGTGCTCTGGTCCAGGGGGTCACGAAGAGTCAGACACGACTAAACGACTAAATAACAATTTTTTGTGTGTCATTTGACTTGCCTTTTGCAGCCAAATTGTTGACCATCACCTAGAGAGGACTAGCTCTAGGACCACGTTAAAAGCTTAGGCGGCAATAAAATTCGTTAGGTGACCACAAGACATTTTTTCACACGGCTGTTCCTTGGGGAAATCACTGCACTGTACAACCCCCAACTACTGACCATGCTGCTTGGGGCTGATGTGTGCTGGGTACTGGACTCCCAATTGCTGCCTTATGGCTTGGGGGGGCAATTAAGGGGCCAATTCACCTGGGCCCCCCCAGCTCTAAAGGGGCCTCAAACTTAAGGCACGCTTTAATATTATTTTTTGGCATTTGATCGGTTGTGCAGATTGCTTTTCAGATTTGGCGAAAGACGCAATTATTTTGTTAACGGATATAGAACTTGTCATATCAAACAAGTTTTAAATGTTCCTAAAATTACATGGGTTACGATGGCACAAGGTTAGAGTTTTTTTAGCGTGTCATCTCAGGCCAGTTGATAATAATAATAATAATTTATTATTTATATCCAGCCCATCTGGCTGGGTTTCCCCAGCCACCCTGGTTAGCTCCCAACAGATTATTAAAAACACAATAAAACATCAAACATTAAAAACTTCCCTAAACAGGGCTGCCTTCAGATGTCTTCTAGAAGTCAAATAGTTGTTTATTTACTTGACATCTGATGGGTGTTCCACAGGGTGGGCGCCACTACTGAGAAGGCCCTCTGCCTGGTTACCTGTAACCTCACTTCTCGCAGGGAGGGAACCGCCAAAAGGCCCTCAGAGCTAGACCTCCGTGTCCAGGCTGAACAATGGGGGTGGAGACGCTCCTTCAGGTATACTGGGCTGAGGCCGTTTAGGGCTTTAAAGGTCACTTTGAATTGTGCTTGGAAATGTACTGGGAGCCAATGAAAGTCTTTTACAACCGGTGTTATATGGTCTTGGCGGCCACTCCCAGTCACCAGTTTAGCTGCCGCATTCTGGATTACTTGTCGTTTCCAGGTCACCTTCAAAGGGAGCCCCACGTAAGCGCATTGTACTAGTCCACGCGGGATAACCAGAGTATGCACCACTCTGGGGAGACAGTTTGCGGGCAGGTAAGGTCTCATCCTGCGTACCAGATGGAGTTGGTAGACAGCTGCTTTGGACGCAGAATTGACCTGTGCCTCCATGGACAGCTATGATAAACAAACATCTCAAGAGTTTTATTTTTGTGTGTGCCTTTTGTTCGCATGTCGTCATCTATAACTATGACTAAGGGCCTTTACAGCTAAGGTGAGCTCTCTGAGAGGGGCTGTTGGAGCTGGACCAACCACATGCTAGAGAGCAGTCCCAGGGAAGCCTCATTCTCCATAGCTGCTGCGCCATTTATTTAAGCAAGGATAGAGAAACCTGTTCAGCCAAACTCCACACAGGAGAACCCTCCCCGGCACACATGAAAGTACGAGCATGACTGGGGATTGCAAGAAGTTGCAGAAAAAGGGAAAAGGCAAATGGAACGGTTTCAAAAGCTGAACTCATCCCAAAGGCAAACAGAGACTCTCAGATCAAAGGAAATCTAATGCTCCAGCCATCATAAGTAGATCAGATGTGGAGACCCTTTGGCCATCTAAATGTTGCTGAACTACAACTCCCATCAGCCACAGCAAGCATGGCCAACTGCCATGGATGGTGGGGCTTGTAGTTCATCGGCACCTGGAGAATCAAAGGTTCCTCAGACCAGCTTGAGACATAGGAAGCTGTCTTAAGATCAGAGAATTGCAGAGTTGGAGGGGACTCTGAGGGTCATCTAATCCAACCCCCTGCAAATGCAGGGATCTCAGCTAAAGCATCCATGACAGATGGCCATCCAACCTCTACTTAAAAACCTCCAAAGAAGGAGAATCACCAGCTCTCGATGGAGACAGTTCCACTGTCAAACAGCTCTTACTGTCAGAAAGTTCTTCCTGATGTTGAGTCGGAATCTCCTTTCTTATAACTTGAAGTCAGTGGTTCAGGTCCTAGTGTCTGGGACAGGAGAAAACCAGCTTATACTAAGTCTGCCAGATGTGGCTGTACCACAGCCTCCATCATTCCTGACCGCTGGGCCATGTTTCCTAGGGTTGACAGAAGTTGTAGTTCAGCATTATCTGAACATGGAGTCAATAAACTAGGGACAGGGGCTGTATCTCTCTCAAAGTACCGCCAGATCAAAGAAACAAAGGGGAAGGTTAGGGGACACACACATACACCCCATTTATCGTTCTGAGGCAGCTGTTTGGCTTTTTGTTCACAACAACAATACTCTAGAACAGGGGTCAGCAAACTTACCGCGCCTCGGGCCGGTGTCTCCAGCGCCAATTGCGCGGTGGGCCAGAGGAATGCGTGCCCATATGCGTGCGCACACGCTATTTTCAGAGCACTTCCGGGTCGGAGCAGCACAAGAAATAGCTTGTGGGCATGTGCATGGGCCTCCTCCGACCAGGATGCGCACTGGAAATAACGCTTGTGCATGCGGAAGTAACGCTTGTGCATGCGCACAAGCTATTTCCGGTGCTCCTCCGACCTGGAAGTGGGCAGCTGCACAGTGCAGCGTCGGTAAGAGCGGGTGGCGGCAGCGGGCGTCGCCACGGACCGGATAAACGAGTCCCTCGGGCCTTATCCAGCCCGCGGCCCTAAATTTGGGGACCCCTGCTCTAGAACTAGTGTTGTTCCTGCAAGACAATTCTTACCGATGTTCAGAAATAAACCAACAGCTCTAAATCAACTACCGTATTTTTCGCTCTATGAGACGCACCAGACCACAAGACGCACCTAGTTTTTGGAGGAGGAAAACAAGGAAAAAAAATATTCTGAATCTCAGAAGCCAGAACAGCAAGAGGGATCTCTGCGCAGTGAAAGCAGCAATCCCTCTTGCTGTTCTGGCTTCTGGGATAGCTGTGCAGCCTGCATTCGCTCCGTAAGACGCACACATACATTTCCCCTTACTTTTAAGGAGGGAAAAAGTGAGTCTTATCGAGCAAAAAGTACGGTAAATCTAAATCAATGCTAAACAGAACACACATGTTCAGGAGGAGGATACCAGAAGGTGGGGTTCAAGCAACCAAAGTCTCATCCTGCTCGCGAGGCCTTCCAAACCATTGGGTTGACCACTGCTGGAAACAGGACACTGGGCTAAGACGGAGCTTTGAGCCGACCCATCGCAACGTCAGGCATAAGTGAAAGCAGGTTAAAGTGAAATCTTTCAATTCATTTTATTTAACAAACACTATACTTTTGAATTCTGAAGAATGTGTATTGAAGGAAAGAAAAAAATAATGATTTCTTTTCTTTACACACACACACACACACACACACACACACACACACAAACAAACAGAAAAAGGGGGGACCAGGACAGGGATGTTAAGCAAAAAACATATGTACAGAATGGAAATCAGGAAGGAAGGAAGGAAGGATGCGAAGTCTCAATGGACAGTGTCTGGGATGGGGAGCCAAAGAAGGTTAAGCACACAAATTATAATCCTGAGGGAGAGGAGTGGGACGAACTACTGAGTGGCTGAGGAGGCAAGCGACCATCATCTGTACAAGGAAAGACCTTTGCAAACCCTCAGTGGATCTGGAGGTCTCGGGTGTGCGCGTTTTAAAAACTGCCAACGTATTGCTTCAGTTTGAGATGTTTGACCGGGTGCGGGGGGGATATATATATATGGTAATATGGGGGAGGAGAGCGGGGGGGGGGACTGGAAGAGCCAGGAAGTTTGCATGACTTGCCACACCTCCCTTCCTGCAGCCATCTTTTCTCCACATCGGCTTCTCCAAGGGACTGGGGCAGGGCTTCGCCCCCGCCGAGTGCTGTTTATCCCAGGGGTTCTTCAAGAGCCCTTCACCAGGCATCATCATCAGTGGGGTGGGATGTTCAGGGGGAGAGAAAAGCCGCTGACAAGAACTACTTGCCACGACCCAGCTGAACTCCTAAGCGCTTTGCTTCTCCTTGAGTGAGGTCCTATACAGCAACCGTTTAGGTCTAGGGGCTTCTATAAAATACACTTGAACTGGCTTTTCTTTAAAACACCCTGGAGAGGGCTTTCTTTCGCCCATGCCACGCGCAGCCTGGAAAAGAGAGACAAGAAACGCACTCTCGGCCTGGAGTCAAGGAGTTGCCATTTCTCTGTTTGGCAACACCTCCCGGGGGCACAGTCCTTTGGAAGAGGCATTGCTCTTTTTTTTTTGAAAACGCAACGCTCAAGAAAAGCACCACTGGTCTGGTTTTTTAAAAAAAGGACGACGGTGCTGTTCCCTCCAGCTTCAGGGGAGAGAGCAGAAGGTGGAGGTGCCTGGAACACACATCATGGTTTTGTTTTTGTTTTTTTTGGGGGGGGGAAACAGCAAAAGCACCCCACGTTCCAGGTCTGCTGGGCTGGCGGACGGACAACAGGTGGGACTGGCAGGAAGGGGGGGGAGGTAGGGCAAAGGAAACAGGACAAACTCCCCCGACCCACCGAAATAAAATGCGAGGCCAATTCAGTTTTCAGTGTGTGCAACAAAAGCCCACCTTGCACAGTCTTGGCCTAGTGTAAATGCACGAAACCAACAGACACACTTTTCCTTGGTCATCTGCATGGGGTTACTAGTAGTGCACCAGCTCCTGGGCAGAGGGTGTGTGTGTGTGTGTGTGTGTGTGTGTGTGTGTGTGTGATATGAGGGGCGAGCATTTCCCCGCTTGCCAGCAGTGAAAGTCAAGAGCAGACGTAGGCAAGCGATCCGAGGCCAGGCAGAGCAGAAGGGGGCAATATTTAAAAAGAGTTCACGGATACACGAGGGCGTGCGCTTTGGGGGGACAGAGGGGGAGACGTATCAAAGCAGCTGGAAGTCCATAGGCAATTTTTAAAAAGACAACAGTCACCTGCATGCTGCCCACCACCACTTCATGACTGAGCTACACCTGAATTTCTGTTTGTTTGTCTTAAAACCGAGGTAGTTGGGTAGAAACAACAACAATAATAATAATAATAATAAAAAGTTCCTCCACCTGGCATTTCTGTTCTGGAAAGGGCCATTGCGCCCCCCCCAAACCCGCCGGCCCGTCCACTCCTAGCCCACCCCCGCCCCCTGGCAAAAAAAGCTGTTTTGTTCCCCAAAACACCCGACTCAAGCTAAAGCCCTGGTGAGATTAAAGAGGGTGGGACGGGGAGACACACAGCCCCTTTCGCCTTCCAAAACACACCAAGTTATTGCACTTCAAAAGAAAGGGGAAGAAAAGACGACAGGTTTGTGGTTCAAGCCCATTCCGCATTCCGACCCCATCCCCACCTCCCACCTCCCCAATGGCTTTGTTCAACTTAAAAAAAGGGGGCGTGGGGAGTAACAGGGAATCAGTATGTTAAGAATTCTACATTATTTTCAGGAGAAGCTAAAAAGAGTTCTTTACATGAGGTTCTCTCCCAAGAATGCTCCAAGGAACTCTAAACCATCTTGGTTTCAAAGTCTAGGTCCATTTTGCACCGGCTCCCCTCCTAAAGCCCTTTCCTGACGTGCCCATGGGACGGGGGGCAGTGGAGGGGGGGACCAGGGAAACCTGCTGGTTCTAGGAGCCTCCGGGCATCGGCGCGAAGGGCAACAAACACACAGCACTCCCTTAAAACGTCCAGCGAGGGGTCTCGCACGTGTCAGAGAAAGGGAAAGAGAGAGAGAGAGATTGAGGAGGAGTCAGGAATGGCTGTCGAACAAGGCAAGACCGAAGAGACACATGCCGCTTTTGGGAGGCCCAGAAGAGTTCAGGTTGCCCACCGGCGCTCAGACATGCTCCGAGCAGCTGGCACCAGGTCATCCAAGAAGCAACGAGGGCAGAGAGGAGAGCCGGGGGTTGGGGGCACGAGGAAGGAGAGGAGAGCCAGTGGCCAATTCCCGACACGACTCCTCCATGCAAGAGAGGGGTGTGCCGTCCCGGCCCTGCTTCTCGCGGCGGTGCAAGCTGAGCTGGCAAAAGACCCCAGAGAGAGGATGGCTCGTCTTCCAGCCACGCAGGAGCTCCGCCAACGTCGCCGCCACACCCTCGCCCCCGGCAGGCCTTCTTAATTTTTTTCTTTTCTTTCTTTCTTTTTTTAAAAAAATTAACTTGGAACTGGGAAGTCACAGGGGGGCAGCTTTGCAAGAGGGCGAGATGGAGAGGGGGAAGGGAGAGAAAGCCCCCTCTTCCCACGTCTGAATAAGCACCAAGGTATTCAAGCTTTTCCCACGCGGAGGACCCGGAGCGCCCCCTGCAGTCAGCAGGCGGATGCCAAGCCGTTCTTGTATAGGCGGGGCAGTTTCCTTTTCGGGTCCGCCGTCATCGTCCTCCTCTTCGTCGTCGTCGTCCTCTTCCTCGGAGGACGAGCTGTCCAGCGTCAAGTCCACCACGTCGGCGGGGACCTTGCCGTTCTCCACGCTGGGGGCGGGAGGCGGCACACCATTGGCCTCCGAAGTGCCACCTGGAAGCAGGGGGAAGGAGAGTCAGGGGGAATTAACACGCATTATTATTAGTAGTAAGGTAAAGGTAAAGGTACCCCTGCCCGTACGGGCCAGTCTTGACAGACTCTAGGGTTGTGCGCCCATCTCACTCAAGAGGCCGGGGGCCAGCGCTGTCCGGAGACACTTCCGGGTCACGTGGCCAGCGTGACATCGCTGCTCTGGGGAGCCAGAGCCGCACACGGAAATGGCGTTTACCTTCCCACTAGTAAGCGGTCCCTATTTATCTACTTGCACCCAGAGGTGCTTTCGAACTGCTAGGTTGGCAGGCGCTGGGACCGAACAACAGGAGCGCACCCCGCCGCGGGGATTCGAACCACCGACCTTTCGATCGACAAGCCCTAGGCGCTGAGGCTTTTACCCACAGCGCCACCCGCGTCCCACATTATTAGTAGTAGTATTATGTTAAGAATTATCACCATCATTATCATCTTTCTAAAATAGGTACATCTATTATGTACAGTGGTACCTCTGGTTGCGGAACGGGATCTGTTCCATAGGCCCGTTCGCAACATGAAAAGAGTGCAAACTGAAGCGTCGTATCTGCACAGGTGCAATTTGGAGCTTGTGCGCATGTGCAAAGCGCGATTTAGCGCTTGTGGGGGGCCAGACTATATTTTGAAGGGGGGGGGGGAAATGAACGAATTCCTATGCCCCACAAATAACCCAGAGATGCATTTTAAATAAAAGCACACAATCTACTCATGTAAAAACACACTGATTCCTGGACCGTTCGTGGGCCGGATTTAGAAGGCGACTGGGCCGGATCTGGCCCCCGGGCCTTAGCTTGCCTACCCATGGTCAAGTCCTTCAGTGGGTCTACTCTGATCAGGCAGGAGTGATGTTGGGTGCAGCTGAAACTTTCAAAGCTCTGCGGCACCAGGGTTACTGGCCCTTTGGTCCCCGTTTAGGAAGGAAACACAGCAGTGACCAGCAAATATTTTTAGACTCACCTGTGGACCCACCCACAACTAAAATTGGACACTGGGGGCTGTAGCTCCTCTCCTTTTCCGCTTTGATAGGGCACCAGGAGCCGTCCACCAAGTATTCAATCTCGTCGGCATCTTCGCATTCCGTCAAGATCTTCGACAAGAGCCTGTGGGGGAAGAGACAGCACAGCTGCCGATTTAATTCTGAGATGTGTCAAGCATGCACTTCCAGAGTTCCAGAGTTAACGCTAAATACAATACTTCAGGTAAATGAAGCCATGAAAATTTGTGTCCCGGGCTCTTTAGACTTGCCTACCCATGCACTAGGGACGCGGGTGGCGCTGTGGTTTAAACCACAGAGCCTAGGACTTGCCGATCAGAAGGTCGGCGGTTCGAATCCCTGCGACGGGGTGAGCTCCCATTGCTCAGTCCCTGCTCCTGCCAACCTAGCAGTTCAAAAGCACATCAAAGTGCAAGTAGATAAATAGGTACCACTCCAGCGGGAAGGTAAACGGCATTTCCGTGCGCTGCTCTGGTTCGCCAGAAGCGGCTTAGTCCTGCTGGCCACATGACCCGGAAGCTGTACGCCTGCTCCCTCGGCCAATAAAGCGAGATGAGCTCCACAACCCCAGAGTCGGCCACGACTGGACCTAACGGTCAGGGGTCCCTTTACCTTTTTACCCATGTACTATGTGAAACCAAAGGGGCACATTGGTTGCCGAATGTGAAATATATGCCAGATGTGAAATATCTCTAATGTAATATAAATATACGCACACACATATGAGGATGATTAGGTTTATCATGATGTTTTTAAATGAAAGTCGCTTGGAGATCTTGTTAGAAAGTGATATATCAGTATCCTAATTCCTCATACAAGGCTTTGCCTCTCTTTAAAGCCCAGAGATGGAAAGAAGACAAAAGTCCCTACCAGGGAAGAATGGCAAACTAAGCTGTTGGTCTATGCCGAAATGGCAAAACTTGACGAGGAAGGTCAGGAACCAAGAAGACCAAAACTTCAGTAAAGAATGGGGGGAAATTATAATTTACGTGAGAGACCACTGTAAGCAGATGAAAACATTAGCAGGTTTGCACTTGCAATGTAGAAGATATTATGGATCAACTGGAGAGACACAAAATTTGGATGGTGAAATAATACACAGTTGAAAAGGTTTATAATAGGACCCATGGAGGGGAAAGGTGGGAAGTCTAGAGATTCGGAGAAGTCTCCAAATACAGATATATATTTTGTATTGTTATAACTCTGAAGTTGTAACCCTGAAGGAGCGTCTCCACCCCCATCGTTCTGCCCGGACACTGAGGTCCAGCTCCGAGGGCCTTCTGGCAGTTCCCTCGCAGCGAGAAGCGAAGTTACAGGGAACCAGACAGAGAGCCTTCTCGGTGGTGGCCCCCGCCCTGTGGAACGCCCTCCCACCAGATGTCAAAGAGAAAAACAACTACCAGATTTTTAGAAGGCATCCGAAGGCAGCCCTGTCTAGGGAAGCTTTTAATGTTTAATAGGTTACTGTATTTTAATATTCCGTTGGAAGCCGCCCAGAGTGGCTGGAGAAACCCAGCCAGATGGGCGGGGTATAAATAATAATAATAATAAGTATTATTATACTTCGTTTAGCCAGGAGGAGAGAAGACCGAGAGGTGAAGTGAGATCCATCTTCAAAGATCTGCATGGTGGCTGCATGGAAGACGGAGCAAGCTTGCTTGCTTGTCTGCTGCTGTTCCAGGGGCCAGGAACCAGACCAACGGATTCAAAGGACGAGAAATGAGATTCAGACCAAACACCAGAAAGAACTTTCGAAGAGGAAGAGCTGTCTGACGGTGGATTCCCTCAGAAGGTGTACTGTTTTTGGGGGACAGGGAGCGAGTTGGTGTGGGGGATTCCCTGGTCTTGAATGGGGTAACTGTGCCCCTGAAGGACCAGGTGCGCAGCCTGGGAGTCATTTTGGACTCACAGCTGTCCATGGAGGCGCAGGTTAACTCTGTGTCCAGGGCAGCTGTCTACCAGCTCCACCTGGTACGCAGGATGAGACCCTACCTGCCCGCGGACTGTCTCACCAGAGTGGTGCATGCTCTGGTTATCTCATGCTTGGACTACTGCAACACGCTCTACGTGGGGCTACCTTTGAAGGTGACCCAGAAACTGCAATTAATCCAGAATGCGGCAGCTAGACTGGTGACTGGGAGTGGCCGCCGGGACCACATAACACCGGTTCTGAGAGATCTGCATTGGCTCCCAGTACGTTTCCGAGCACGATTCAAAGTATTGGTGCTGACCTTTAAAGCCCTAAACGGCCCTTTATACCTGAAGGAGCGTCTCCACCCACATCATTCTGCCCGGACACTGAGGTCCAGCACCAAGGGCCTTCTGGTGGTTCCCTCATTGCGAGAAGTGAGGCTACAGGGAACCAGGCAGAGGGCCTTCTCGGTAGTGGCGCCCACCCTGTGGAACGCCCTCCCATCAGATGTCAAAGAGATAAATAATTACCTGACATTCAGAAGACATCTTAAGGCAGCCCTGTTCAGTTTTTAATATGTAACGCTGTACTGTTTTTAACACTGATTGGGAGCCGCCCAGAGTGGCTGGGGAAATTCAGCCAGATGGGCGGGCTATAAATAATAAATTATTATTATTATTATTATTATTATTATTATTATTATTATTATTAGGCGTGGCCTCTCCTTCCTTGGAGGTTTTCGAACAGATGGCCGTCCATCAGGCAATTCTTCCATTATGTTCCCTGCATTGCAGGGGGTTGGACCAGGTGACCCAACTCTGCGGTTCTGTTATTCTAAGGCAGGCCTCAAGACCATAGCTGTCAACCGTCCCTTATTTGGCGGGAAAGTCCCTTATCCCAGCGCCGTGTCCCGCTGCTGTCCCTTATTGAGGATGTCCCTTAAATTTCCCGGGTTTCAAAGGAAGCAGCTCCTCTCCCTCCCTCCCTGCCGGCCAGGGAGGAGGGGGGCTCCAACTGTGTTGCTTGGCTGCGTTGCTCACCCAATAAGGAGTCTAAGAACGACTGGGGGGGTGGAGCTTGCATGCCTTGTGCCGATCAAATCGGCCGCCTTGCCTGCGGACTCGCCTTTGCTCAGCGCTTCCCAGCGGAGAGGTGACGGTGGTTTTCCTTGCTGCATCCCCTTTGCCGGGTTGCTGCGCTGTGGGAACCACCGCTTGAGGCTTCGTTTGGCTGCTGGCTGGGCTTTCTGCCTTTGGCTGGGAGGGGCTCAGAAGTTGAACATACCTGTGCTTGGAAAATCCCTTATTTTGGCTGCTGATCCCTTATTTTCGAGGCTGCTGGTCCCTTATTTTCAAATCTGTAAGTTGACAGCTATGCTCAAGACACACACACACACAGAGGTAAAAAGAGAGAGCTGCTTCTGATGAGGCAATCAGCTCAACTCACCCATCGATCATCAGTTGGTCGTAAGTGGCCGGTTTGTCGCAAACTGGGCACATCCAGGTGGGCTTCTTCTCATTCATCTGCAGGTAGAAAACGGCGTCGAAACACTGGAGATGAGCGCAGGTCTCGGCCCGACACGGCACCGACAGACGCATCTTCACAAGCTTTGGAGAGAAAGGTGAGGAACGTTATGAAAGCCCCAGAACGGACTGAAAGAAGGAAGGCCTGGGGCAGCTCTTTCGGCGCTCTAGGAACCACTGTTAGCCTGAGGGCCGCACTTACTTCTAGACAGCCTCCCGGGGGCTACCTGGTGGTGGTGGTAGGCGGGGCCTGAGCAAAGCTGGGCGGAGTAACAGATGCAAATGTTTGCCTTTCTATAGAAGGCGAATTCCTACACACACACAACCCCCTCCAAACTCCATCCAGGCAAGGAAGGGGCCTATTCTGAGTTCAATGGCACATTCTAGCCATGTAGAGGCACTCAAGGAGAGTGCAGAGCAGTGGGGGGGGGGGCTACCCCCTTTTAAAATCGGGTGGCGCTGTGGGTTAAACCACAGAGCCTAGGACTTGCCGATCAGAAGGTCGGTGGTTCGAATCCCCGCCACGGGGTGAGCTCCCGCTGCTCGGTCCCTGCTCCTGCTAACCTAGCAGTTCGAAAGCACGTCAAAGTGCAAGTAGATAAATAGGTACCACTCTGGCGGGAAGGTAAACGGTGTTTCCGTGCGCTGCTCTGTTTGCCAGAAGTGGCTTAGTCCTGCTGGCCACATGACCCGGAAGCTGGACGCCGGCTCCCTCGGCCAGTAAAGCAAGATGAGCGCTGCAACCCCAGAGTCAGCCACGACTGGACCTAATGGTCAGGGGTCTCTTTAAGGACAGGGATATGCCTTTGCTGAGCAAAGCCCAGCTTCCAAAGGGAGGGTGGAAGACTCAGTAGCCTCGAGGAACTTGAAAACAGCAGAGATCTATTTATTAAATTTATATACCACCCGTCCTCCGAAGATCTCGGGGAGAGTCCCAACAGGGTTGTTGTGGAGATTAAATGAGGAGTGGGGGAAACCAGGCATGCCACCTTGATATAAATAGGGTAAACAAATAATAAACGTTCCAAGGCTACTGGACTTAAGGAAATCTTGAAAGTGTCAAAGCATCTCCTGCAATGGCCAATCAGCTGTTTCCAAGGCATGTGAGCTGTGCTGTGGCTGCCACCTCTAAACACACAAACACACACAGAGAGAGAGCTTTACAGCACAACATGGATCACTTACCGGGCATATGAGAGACACTCGGACACCAGTGGTGGCGATTTCGCTTTCTGGATCCAGGCGAAGCTTCTCTTTAACTACAGTTGTTGAGTCGGGAGGAGAATATGTGGAAGAAGAGAAGAGAGGGAACAAAGCGGTGGTCCTTTGTTAGCGACTTTCACCACTCCCCAGGGAACGGAGAAAGCGGGCAGTGGAAGAATCTGTCTCGTTCCCTCCCTCGACCTGTTTCTGCCCAAGACAAAGGGCCCCTCTAGACGGGTGTTTTACGGCAGGTATACTCCACAACGTGTTTTTTGGCACAATCATTGTGAGCTAGGGGTTGGGTTTGTTACCGGTTTATCGATTTATCGGTTGTGCTGAGGCTCTTCCCCGATAGCAGGCTGTTCAGAGGGGCTACAGCAATATAATAATAGTAGTAATAATAATAATAATAATAATAATAATAATAATAATAATTCATACCCTGCCCATCTGGCTGGGTTTCCCCAGCCTCTCTGGGCTGCTCCCAACAGAATATTAAAAACACAAATACAGTGGTACCTCGGGTTAAGTACTTAATTCGTTCCGGAGGTCTGTTCTTAACCTCAAACTGTTCTTAACCTGAAGCACCACTTTAGCCAATGGGGCCTCCTGCTGCCACCGCGCCGCCGGAGCACGATTTCTGTTCTTATCCTGAAGCAAAGTTCTTAACCCGAGATACTATTTCTGGGTTAGCGGAGTCTTTAACCTGAAGCGTATGTAACCCGAGGTACCACTGTACTTAACAACACACCCTGTAGAATTCTATCTGTGCTATTTTATCCGCGCAATCAGGACAGATTTCAGGAACCAGAGAGTTGCACTTCCTAGTTGTCTGGCCTTCCCAAATGGCAACTAGGACAATCTGTTTTGGCAACTGCAACACTGGTTTAAGGAGCCATTTTGCACCTCGTTTACATACCTGAGTTTCTAACACTGGCTCAGGGGTGGTGAACCGGCAGCCTTCTGGAGACTGCCGGATTGCAACTCCCGATCTGCAGAACTCCCTTCTTCATGTACCGCCCCCCCTCCACAGGAGCACGATATACTTAATTTCAGGGCTGTGGGTTCGAGTCCCACGTTGGGGAAAATATTCCCGCATTGCATGGCCTTCGGGGGTCCCTTGAGACTCTACGATTCTACAGAGAAGCGTGCCAACTCACCAAGTGCTTTGCACAGCTCTGGGTGCTTAATTCCGATTACTCTCAACCTCTGGAGCAGCTCTGCCGATGTCATCTGTCTCACGAGGAAGAGGCCCACGGAATAACTCTGAAGAGCGGGAGGAGAACAGAGGGGTTGTGAGAAATCGCAGGGCAGGGAAAGCTTCCTTGGTCTTTCAAAGCATCCCTCCTATCACCTGGCAAAGGATCCTTCCTGCGTTTCGGTTCCTGAGCTTACCGTCTTTCCCCGAAAGTAAGACATCCCCCGAAAATAAGACCTACCGTATTTTTCGCTTCATAAGACGCACTTTCCCCCTCTTAAAATCTAAGGGGAAATGTCTGTGCGTCTTATGGAGCGAATGTGTGGTCCCTGGGGCTGGGGGGGGGACCTGGGCTTCCCCTGCCAGCCCCACAAGTTTAGGGAGCAGTGGGAAGACTGGGAGCAGCCAGTGACGGGCTGCCCTTCTCCCTCCTCAGGGAAAAGCCTGCAAGCGCCGCACACACGCTCCACGCGGCTCATGAAAGGGAGCGCTGAGCAGAGCCTGGGATGCATACAGGCTCTGCTCAGCGCTCCCTTTAAATAATATTTTTCTTGAATCCACCCCCCCAAAAAAGTAGGTGCGCCTTATGGAGCGGAAAATACGGTACTTCCAGTTTTGCCTCTCGCTGTAATATAAGGCATCCCCCGAAAATAAGGCCTCCCCGATAATAAGGCCTCCCCCAAACATAAGACCTCCACGGAATATAAGGCCCCCGAAGCTACCATAAGGCGTCTGGCTCCTCTGGACCGTAGTGGTGGGCGCTGCCACGCAGCTCACTGATTGGCCGCAGCGCAGCCGGAGCTGTTCAGGCAGTGCGAGGTCTCTTTAAATCAGAGAGCCTGCGCCACTACCAGGGCAAGCTGCCGCCTGCTGCTCGCTCTGGCTGACTCACAATTAGACAATAAATGTGCACCGAATTCTTCTTCATTGAAAAATAAGACATCCCCTGAAAATAAGACCTAGCGCACCTTTGGGAGGAAAAATTAATATAAGACACTGTCTTATTTTGGGGGAAACAGGGTATTATTTGAACCAGGGGAGGGGAACCTCCAGACCTGGCGGCAAAGGCAAGCCCTCGAGGCCATATACCCTCCTGAGCCAGACCTCTCGTTGGCCTGGCTTTGCCCACCCGCTCCTTGCGTATTCGTGCCAGGCTAGAATGTGTTTCCTGACCATGCTTCCTGCCTTCCTGGGAGGAGAAACATGAGAGCGGCAGAACTAGCTGACTGTGCAAAGGCAAAATTCGCATCTCCTGCTCTGCCCATTATTGACCCTCTCAGGGCGTGCGATCAAATGAAGATGCCTGGGTGCCTGACCTCTCCACCATCTGGAGGAGAATGCCTGGAGATCACTGGATCTTCAATGTTTTGACAGTATTATCACATCCTGTAGAATTCTATCAGCTATACAATGGTACCTTGGTTTACGAACTTAATCCATTCCGGAAGTCTGTTCTTAAACCAAAGCGTTCTTAAACCAAGGTGTGCTTTCCCATAGCACAATTTACAAATGGAACACACTCAACATGTTCTGCTTCCAAGGCAAAGTTCACAAACCAAAACTGTTGTGGTTCTGGACAGTTAAGAGTTAACACTTCAGGAAGTGTTCTTATTCATTGGTTGCATTGCCCACATGACCCGGGCATTTCCCTTTGATCTGTGCTCTGTGGGGGCTGAGCTCTCTCTGGAGAGCAGTCTGTCTAAGAATGTGAGCAAGATAGTTTCATTTTTGTTAGACAGAAAGCTGCAAGCATGCAGCTAGATTCTGTAGGTTTTTCTTTTCTGTTTTTGAATGCTTCTAAGCACTGGTGTCGGGACGTGGGTGGCGCTGTGGGTAAAAGCCTCAGCACCTAGGGCTTGCCGATTGAAAGGTCGGCGGTTCGAATCCCCGCGGCGGGGTGCGCTCCCGTTGCTCGGTCCCAGCGCCTGCCAACCTAGCAGTTCGAAAGCACCCCCGGGTGCAAGTAGATAGATAGGGCCGCTTTCTAGCGGGAAGGTAAACAGCGTTTCCGTGTGCGGCTCTGGCTCGCCAGAGCAGCGATGTCACGCTGGCCACATGACCCGGAAGTGTCTCCGGACAGCGCTGGCCCTCGGCCTCTTGAGTGAGATGGGCGCACAACCCTAGAGTCTGTCAAGACTGGCCCGTACGGGCAGGGGTACCTTTACCTTTACCTTTTTAAGCACTGGTGTCAAGCTGAATTATTGGAGACACCACGTCGACAGAGACCATAGCTGTCAACTTACAGATTTGAAAATAAGGGACCAGCAGCCTCGAAAATAAGGGATCAGCAGCCAAAATAAGGGAACAATATTTTGTTGCGTGTGAATGGCTTGAGATACCTATTAGGTCCATAAATGACCATACAGCATATATTCAACACACAAAAAAGCAACAATTTGTTGTTGACAAAGCACAGCTGGACATAGAAAGGGCCCCATTACCTTCAGTAGCTTATTTAAGGGACATCATCAATAAGGGACAGCAGTGGGACATGGCGCTGGGATAAGGGACTGTCCCGCCAAATAAGGGACGCTTGACAGCTATGACAGAGACAAGCCATTTTACGCTGCGTGTGAACTCTGCTATCATCCGGCAACTGAGAAGAGAGGCAGCACGCAAGTGGAAGCATGTGGGCACCATTGGAAGTTTATCAGAGTGGCAATAAATCAAATTTATTACGGGGCCGTTGCAGCAGACTCAGTGGGTCAAAGGATTTATGACCCACAAACTTTAACAAAAACACCAATTTCTGGGTTTGCAGCGTTCTTAATCCAAGTTGTTCATAAACTAAGTTGTTCTTAAACCAAGGTACCGCTGTATTTTATCTGCACAATTGGAATGAATTTCAGGAATCAAAATGCTTTTTCGGTGCGGCCTAAGAAGGAGCAGGGAACAACGTCACAGTGAATTGCCGGCGCTTGTCTTCGCTTAGCCCACCTCATTGCCCTGCTCACAGCTGTGAAGAATATTCTTACATTACCAGTGGTCTGGGTCACCATTGAAAAAAAGAGGCCGGAGGAAGCCAGTATACACTGGTACCTCGGGTTAAGAACTTAATTTGTTCTGGAGGTCCCTTCTTAACCTGAAACTGTTCTTAACCTGAAGCACCACTTTAGCTAAGGAGGCCTTCCGCTGCTGCATGCCACCACCACACAATTTCTGTTCTCATCCTGAAGCAAAGTTCTTAACCCAAGGTACTATTTCTGGGTTAGTGGAGTCTGTAACCTGAAGCGTATGTAACATGAAGTGTCTGTAACCCGGAGTACCAATGTATATGTGGACTATCCTAATTAAACCTCACAACAATTTCATAATTATCGGTCTATGTATTTCTAATAGTATAACCAAATCGGTAATTTCTGATATAACTGTAAAAAACTTCTCTGGAAATTTATCATTCCAAAAATGAAACCTTCATCTGGTTGTTAAGCTAAAACTAGCAAGAATGAGTCTTTCTGTAAAAAAAAAAAAGAAAGATTTAAATCAAGCCTTACTGACTAGAGATTTAAATCGTAATTTAAATCGATTTGATTTAAATCAGGGGTCAGCAAACTTTTTCAGCAGGGGGCCGGTACACTGTCCCTCAGACCTTATGGGGGGCCAGACTATATTTTGGAAAGAAAAAAAAAGAACTACGGTAATTCCTATGCCCCACAAATAACCCAGAGATGCAATTTAAATAAAAGCAAACATTCTGTTCATGTAGAAACCCCAGGCAGGCCCCACAAATAACCCAGAGGTGCATTTTAAATAAAAGGACACATTCTACTCATATAAAAACACACTGATTCCCGCACCACCCGCGGGCCAGACTGAGAAGGCGATTGGGCCGGATCCGGCCCCTTGGGACATAGTTTGCCGACCCATGATTTAAATCAAATCCACTCTGCTCTGAGCCAAGGTTGTGACAGTCACAAAACAGGGTGGCCAGTCAGCACTTTGCACAGCCGGCTTCTTAAAGGAACAGGGAGAGTCAGCAGCTCAACTCAATTTTGACATTGGCACACCTACCGAAAGAGGGAGTGGGCGTGCATAACCACACCCGGGCACAGATGAAAACACGTCTGCATACGCAAAGCAGGACAAACATTTAAGGGGGGAGGAGAAGAGGGGCAGCGGCAATTTTGTGACTGCCTGCCCAACTTGCCCCGCACCTTTCCGTAATTGCCCCAGATGACGGTGATGCGGTTGGTTGCGGAAGACAGGTACATGAGGTGAGTGAGGTTGATGGGACGACAAGGCCGCTTGGGCTCCACACCTGGTTTGTTGGAGGGATAATAGCCCTAGAAAGAAAGAGAGGGAGAGGTGTTTGTTTCATTGCCAGCAAAAGACACAAATCACGCACACACCCGAAAAGCAGGAAGCAGGCAATGATGTAAACAAAGAAGAAGAATGCATCTCCAAGATGCCTGTCTTTTGCTAAATTTCTGCTCAAGAACCTTCAAGGCTTATCTGTTTCTCTGCAATCTGCTCAAAAACTGTCCGTTTCAAAGACCCTGCAGGGCCCAAGATTCCCAGCAAGGACACTGAGGAAAAGCCACCCCAAACGGGATGCAGCTGGATATAATAATGTAATAGTAATAATTTATTACTTATACCCTGCCCATCTGGCCGGGCCTCCCCAGCCACTCTGGGCGGCTCCCAACAGAACATTAAAAACACGATCAAACATCAAACATTAAAAACTTCCCTAAACAGGACCGCCTTCAGATGTCTTCTAAAAGTCAGATAGTTGTTTATTTCCTCGACATCTGATGGGAGGGCATTCCATGGGGAGGGCGTCACTACCAAGAAGGCCCTCTGCCTGGTTCCCTGTAACCTCACTTCTTGCAGGGAGGGAACCGCCAGAAGGCCTCGGAGCTGGACCTCGGTGTCCGGGCTGGACGATGGGGGTGGAGACGCTCCTTCAGGGATATTGGGCCGAGGCCGTTTAGGCTGCAGGCTTCCTCAACCTTCGGCCCTCCAGATGTTTGGGACTACAATTCCCATCATCCCTGACCACTGGTGCTGCTAGCTAGGGATCATGGGAGTTGTAGGCCAAAAACATCTGGCGGGCCAAGGTTGAGGAAGCCTGGTTTAGGGCTTTGAAGGTCAGCACCAACACTTTGAATTGTGCAAAACTCTGCCCCATCCAGGGAGGCTGGCTATGGTTGAGGACAAAGTCTTGGCCTGGAGAAAGCGGTGGCAGCTTTCACCTCTGCAAATGATGAGATAGCCTACCCTCCACGCTGCTGATGGATGGTATGAAACACCAACGGAAGGCAGCCCATCTCACAAAAAATGGGCAGTGGACACCCCTGTCCTCTTCTGTAAGAGTTTCAGAGGATTTGGGTTGACTTACCGGGACAGAACAGTAACTATGGTTCACTTTCACAGCGATGTTTGGGGGATACTGATCTTCCTGAGGGCATCTGGTATCTGTGTAGCAGATTCTGCGGGGAAAGAAAGCAAAGGCTCTAGACCAGTCGTTCCCATGCTTCTTTGCTCAGTTCCACAAACCCATCCCCAGTTCCCCCTATAATGCGTTATTCAGAATAGCGGTTTGTAAAGGTAAAGGACCCCTGGACGGTTAAGTCCAGTCAAAGGCGACTATGGGGTTGCGGCGCTCATCTCGCTTTCAGGCCGAGGGAGCCGGCGTTTGTCCGCAGCCAGCTTTCTGGGTCATGTGGCCAGCAGAACTAAACCACTTCTTGCACAATGGAACACTGTGACAGAAACCAGAGCGCATGGAAATGCTGTTTACCTTCCTGCCACAGCAGTATCTATTTATCTACTTGCACTGGCGTGCTTTCAAACTGCTAGGTTGGCAGGAGTTGGGACAGAGCAATGGTAGCTCACCCCGTTGCGGTGATTCGAACCGCCAACCTTCTGAGCAGCAAGCCCAAGAGGCTCAGTGGTTTAGACATTTCACAGAGCCTGGGGCTTGCCGATGAGAAGGCTGGTGGTTTGAATCTCCATGACGCGGTGAGCACCCGTTGCTCGGTCTCAGCTCATGCTCACCTAGCAGTTCGAAAGCACGTCAAAGTGCAAGTAGATAAATAGGTACCACTCCGGCGGGAAGGTAAACAGCGTTTCCGTGCACTGCTCTGGTTCGCCAGAAGCGGCTTAGTCATGCTGGCCACATGACCCCAGAGTCATCCACGACTGGACCTAACGGTCAGGGGTACCTTTATCTTTACCTTTATTTAAATATGTGTAGGCAAATGAGAGTACAGTGGTACCTCATGTTAAGAACTTAATTCGTTCCGGAGGTCCATTCTTAACCTGAAACTGTTCTTAACCTGAGGTACCACTTTAGCTAATGGGGCCTCCTGCTGCTGCCAGACGATTTCTATTCTCATCTTGAAGCAAAGTTCTTAACCCGAGGTTCTATTTCTGGGTTAGCGGAGTCTGTAACCTGAAGTGTCTGTAACCTGAAGCATCTGTAACCCAAGGTACCACTGTACCCCTAAACATTTTTTTGGAAACACTGAATTAGCCTCTGCAAATGTATCATAGGCCTGTGCCCCAGGCTGCGTACACTGCAAAAAATAACCCCGTGAACTGTAGTTTGCCCACCACACAGCTACACCTCCCAGAAACCTTGACAAACTGCGGCTTGTAGGATTCTCCGGGGGGGGGGGAGAGCCATGTGACTTAAATGCACTGTGCGGAAGAAGCCCCGGTCTCTTGGAAACCTAGCTGTCACCTTCAAAAGCTCAAGGCTCTTCCTCGTGATCTGGAGTGGCCATGGAAAACAAGCAGATGTACAGGCAAGCTGTGACCTTGTGAATCAGCAGGAGCTTTGCGTTAGGAGATGGAGACTGGGGCCCAGGGAACTGCTACGCAGGGAAGCCGCTTGCAAGTTTGTCAACCCAGGATCTCTTCCGATGGCGCCACTGCCTGGCTTTTGTAATAATCCTCCCCAACCCCACCCGCTGCTCCCATCTCAGGGGCTTTAATTAGCAGCCGCAGCGTTCAGACTTACCTGAGGACTACCTGGACCGATCTCACACCTGGTTGCAGCTCCCTGCCAAGTGAAAACAAGACAAACATCCCCTCCAGGTTAAGCATCTGTGTTCACAGAGAAGGGAAACATTTATCGCAAGAGTAATAAACCCAAGACCGACCCCAGGATTTTTCATTCCCAATTTGCAGACTAGAGGCCAAAAGCTCTGCTGGAGGGTTGGTCACTTGAACGTGGTACAATGAACTCAAACGCACTTTGGAACAAACGGCACAAGATGCATCAATAGCAAAGAGGTTCCACTCTCAGGACAATGCCCAAGAGTCAGTTGCGGGGTATTGCCTGCCCACCGGCTCCAGACGCCAGCTCACGAGACCTGGAGAAAGGCTTAACCCAGGTAAAAACCCCAGCAGAGAAAAAGGAAGTCTCCGTTCAAAGGGAAACCCGCCAGGGAAAGGCTAGGAACCCCGCAGAATACCTGGAATTTCTGATGAGCTCCACTTGCCTCGGCGTCAGGGCAAAGACACACGGGCTCTCCTGTAGCTTCTCGTTGTTCTGCGGGACTGCACACAGGGAACAGAGAAGGAGGTCAAGCAAGCAGGCAGCCACAAGGAGGGAGACAAACGGAGCAGAAAGCTGGCCCTCTCTCCGAAGCAGTCTTATGCAACAGAACCAAAATGTGCTCAAAGCTTGCCAAATCCCTGAACTGCAGCCTCATTTGGGGGAGGGGGGGAAGAAAGATAAACCATGAGCTTCTTTGCAAGCTTTTGGGTCGCCTCCTGTCTTTCAGAAGCACTTTAAAAACCTTGGGGGGAATTCATACAGCAAGATTTATCTAAATGTTTTAAGGACTTTTCCACTGTAAGCTGCAGGGATGGTAAGCAACAACGCTTTCTATGGAAGGTGAACAGCCTTCCTGCAAGTGTTCTATTTAACGAAGGGTGCATGCCAAAACTAAAGCATCCGTGACAGATGGCCATCCAACCTCTGTTTGAAAACCTCCAAGGAAGGAGAGTCCACCACCTTCCGATGGAGTTCGCTGTGCTGTCAAACAGTATCTCCTGTCTTGTAACTTGAAGCCATTGGTTTGAGTCCTACCCTCCAGGGCAGGAAAAAACAAGCTTGCGCCTTCCTCTATGTGACAGCCCTTCAGATATATGATAGGGGAATGGAACTTAGGTCAAGACAAGCCAGTAATCCCTGTAACTTGGGGTTTTGTGGTTCTATCGACAGCAGCCTAAAATCGTATCTGCAGTTGCACCGGGAGGGTGTACGTATGATTTATGCACTCCGCTCAGCTGAACGCAACAGGGCTCTCATGTGTTCACGTGGAATCCCTGGCAGAACCCGTCTCATAGAGCCCAGCACGTTTTTGGAGTCAGAGCAACAAATAATTTCTCAGAGGACATGAAGGCTCTCGGCTCCTCCTGCAATCAAAACACTGGCATTGCCTCAGCCACTTTGCTGCAAACCTTTACGCACATGAATTTTTCACCACAGGGGAAATGAATTAGGAGATGCCCCCCCTCCCTGCAATCATCCCTTGAAACCCCAGTTCCAACACCCACCGGGCCCTCTGCCTTCGACAAGAGATACCACTCCATTAATATGACTGAATGGCAACTGCTGAGAGCCACGTTGGGGGGGGGGTTTCTTCTGCCCGAAAAGTGGGATATAAATACAGGGGTACGTTGGTACAGTGGTGCCTCGCAAGACGAAAAGAATCCGTTCCGCGATTCTCTTCGTCTAGCGGTTTTTTCGTCTTGCGAAGCAACCCCATTAGCAGCTAAGAGGATTAGCGCTATTAGCGATTTAGCGGCTTAGCGGCTATTAAAGGATTAGCGGCTAAGCTGCTAAAAGGCTATTAGTGGCTTAGCGGCTTTGAAAAAGGGGGGGAAGCGGGGGGGGGGAAATGGCGAGACTCGCAAGACGTTTTCGTCTTGCGAAGCAAGCCCATAGGGAAATTCGTCTTGCGAAGCGCATCGCAAACGGAAAACCCTTTCGTCTAGCGGGTTTTCCGTCTTGCGAGGCATTCGTCTTGCGGGGCACCACTGTACTTGAACGGCTTGGCCCCCGAACAAATTGGCACCTGAACACCGCAAACCCGGAAGTGAGTGTTCCAGTTTCCAAACTTTTTTTTGGAAGCCGAACATCAGGCGCAGCTTCCGATTGAGTGCAGGAAGCTCCTGCAGCCAATCAGAAGCCACGCATTTGTTTTCAAACCGTTTTGGGAGTCGAACGGACTCCCGGATCGGATTAAGTTCGAGAACCAAGGTACCACTGCATGTAAAACAAATCCGCAGGCAGAAAAATGCAGACAGTCATATTAATTCAGCGTGGGAGAGGAGACAACCGAGAACAGGGAGAGGGACATGATACCTTTAATTGAGATCAAGTAAATATCACAAAACCACAAGTAGCTTCCAGACGGCACCCAATTCAGCGTGATGCTACAACAGCAATTCTTAAGAGAAGGGGTAGGAAGAAACAATAAACATCGAAGAAGCCTTCTGGGACATCCAAGCTCTTCGCCTTAAGGGGCGATTCAGAAAGTTATCTGCAGACCAATCAACTGCCTTATGCAGAATCCGACCACCGGTGCCTTTCAGTCTCCTCCAACCTGGTGCCCTCCAAGTGGTTCTGGACTGCAACTCACACCGAGAGAGTGGTCAGGGCGATGTAAATCCAACAGCAACAGCAGGGCACTAGGCTAGACTACTGTGGTAACACGGAGTCAGGCTTTGACAGTGGTGGCGCCAGTGTTGTGGAATGTCCTCCCTGCTGAACGCCTGACCCTTGGCTCTTGACCGCTCCCTGTTTAGACAAGCATTTTCCTGACCTCCCGACTCCACTCTCCTGCTTTGATGGTAGTTCCAACTGACCTTATGGGAATTTTTATTTAATAACTGGTGTTGTTATTTTCCCATTGGCTTTTAACCTGCTTGTGAACAGCCTTGGTATTTTTCTCCTTGAAATGAAAGGTGGCATGTAAATTCTTTCTTTCTTTCTTTCTTTCTTTCTTTCTTTCTTTCTTTCTTTCTTCCCTGCCTTTCTCCCTAACGGGACTCAAGGCCGCTTACAGACAAGAATAAAAACCGCTAAAAGCATAGGAAAATAACTGTTTAAAAACATTTATTATACATTGATAGAATTAAAGCTATGTGGGCTGAAGATGCCAACAAGTAAGGCTGCTGGCCATTGAGCTCCTCCCTGGTTTTCATTTGTTTTAATGTTTAATAGGTTCAAAGTCAGTTGAGTCAGCAGTTAATGGTAATTGCAGCAGACAGGCAAGGAGCATTTATGCTTTACTTTTACGTGGAGTTAAAAGCCATATATCTTAACTGGAGGACAGGTGCTGGGAGAGCAGCTGTTTTAGCTCAGGGTTTAGCTTATAAGGAACACTTAGAGGCTTAGAAGCTATGGTTTTCCCAGTAGTGATGTATGGAATTGAGAGCTGGACCATAAAGAAGGCTGATCGCCGGAGAATGGATGCTTTTGAATTCTGGTGCTGGATGAGACTCTTGAGAGTCCCATGGACTGCAAGAAGATCAAACCTCTCCATTCTGAAGGAAATCAGCCCTGAGTGCTCACTGGAAGGACAGATCGTGAAGCTGAGGCTCCAGTACTTTGGCCACCTCATGAGAAGAGAAGACTCCCTGGAGAAGACACTGATGCTGGGAAAGATGGAGGGCACAAGGAGAAGGGGGCGACAGAGGACGAGATGGTTGGATAGTGTTTTCGAGGTTACCAGCATGAGTTTGACCAAACTGCGGGAAGTAGTGGAGGACAGAGGTGCCTGGCGTGCTCTGGTCCATGGTGTCACGAAGAGTCGGACACGACTAAACGACTAAACAACAACAACAACAACTAGAGGCTTACGCAGGCCAGTGTTTTCTGTATGGATAATAATAATAATAATAATTTATTATTTATACCCCGCTCATCTGGCTGGGCTTCCCCAGCCACTCTGGGCGGCTTTCAACAAAATATTAAAATACTGTAATACATCAAACATTAAAAGCTTCCCTAAACAGGGCTGCCTTCAGATGTCTTCTAAAAGTCTGGTAGCTGTTCTTCTCTTTGACATCTGGTGGGAGGGTGTTCCACAGGGCGGATGCCACCACCAAGAAGGCCCTCTGCCTGGTTCCCTGTAACTTGGCTTCTCGCAGTGAGGGAACCACCAGAAGGCCCTCGGCGCTGGACCTCAGTGTCTGGGTAGAACGATGGGGGTGGAGACACTCCTTCAGATATACTGGACCGAGGCCGTTTAGGCCGAAAGATTCCTGCATTGCAGAGGGTTGGGCTAGATGATCCTTGTGGTCCCTTCCAACTCTATGATGCTAGGATTCTACGATTCAAATCATGTCAAGACCAAGAACCAGGGGCAGCAGATTAAAAGCCGGGCCCTGCAACCACTATGTTGCACCACCCAATATGGTTTTAGGGACAGTGTGCCTAGTACATGAGCCAAATCAATCTCATATATAATCCTCATAATCCCCAATCTCATATTTAAACTGCCAATGAAGGACAAGCTACATTAAATGGCTCTTGGGCTCCTCCTTCGGACTTTTTGCACTTTTGCAAAAACGGTTTTTGCACAAACCTGCTGATCCCTCCCTCGTGTGTGTGTTGCCATTTTGTACGTATACACAGAGGCACTCACCTCTGAGCACTGGAAGTCGGGGGACAATGGACCCTGTATCATTTCTGAAATATTGTAAACTGTGTTGGGAAGGTTGCGTACCTGAAAAGTGGCGGTTCAGAAATAAAACGCAGTCCCTTCTTAACTCCGCAGCTTGAGTTTTGAATAACCTCCACAGGGGGCGGGCAGGCAAGTAGCTTCCTCACATGTAGAAAAACAGCCGATCAGGGTTAAGGTTTCAGTGCTGGGTTCTGCCCCGCATGTAGATTGTCTGCATGACCAGTTTACCTTTGATATGCAGAATGGGTAATTGATATGCTCTTGGGGTTCTTCCAACCATACAATTCTATGGTTCTACGAAAGTCTATCATGTCTTTCTGCCTTCCAAGGGTATTGCGATTAGTGCTCAAGAACAAAGGTGATTACCCACTGGTGTTTAGGGACACAGGACGCTGCCTAACACCGAACCAAACCACTGGGTCCATCTAGGTAAGATTTTTACTATACTGACTGGTTACAGCTCCCCAAGCAGCATTCGAAATTAGCCATTTTGCACCTGGCTTTCGACCGCTTGCAACAGAGTGAAGATACCTGGGTGCCAGGATGGCGTCTGACATCTAAACTATCTGGGGATCATTGGATTTGCACTGCTTTCACACACTAACACCCCACCCTGTAGAATTCTATCCGTTCTATTTTATCTGTACAACTGAAACGAGTTTCAGGAACCAAAATGCTTTGCCTGTGCAGCCCGAGCAGGAGCACGGAACGACGTTATAATTAATTGTTTCCGCTGGTTTTCGCTTACCCCACCCCACTGCCCTGCTCACAGTTGTGAAGAACATTCCTACGTTACGAATGGCCCATGTCACCATTAAGAAAAAAAGGTCGGAATAGGCCAATATATAAGCGGAATGTCCCTGGATCAAGTGACTTTTCTTCTTTCAGTTCTCAAAGCTCTTCAACGAGGCTGCAATCTGAACGAGCCAGGTATTTTAACTGATAATCAATCGCAGTCCAGTCCATCACTTGAAAAATAAAACTTCTGAGCCATCTTGCCCCCCAAACGGCAACTAGACATTCCGTTTTGGCAACCGTAACCTTGGTTGAAGGAGCCAGTTGGAGCCTAGGTTATATATCTGAGTTTCTAACGCTGTAAGATTTCAGACAGTAAGGGTTAGGGCATGGTTAGGCAAACTAAGGCCCGGGGGCCGGATCTGGCCCAACTGCCTTCTAAATCCGGCTCACGGACGGTCTGGGAATCAGCGTGTTTTTACACGAGTAGAATGTGCCCTTTTATTTAAAATGCATCTCTGGGTTATTGTGGGGCCTGCCTGATGTTTTTACATGAGTAGAATGTGTGCTTTTATTTAAAATGCATCTCTGGGTTATTGTGGGGCCTGCCTAGTGTTTTTACATGAGTAGAATGTGTGCTTTTATTTAAAATGCATCTCTGGGTTATTTGTGGGGCCTGCCTAGTGTTTATACCTGAGTAGAATGTGCCCTTTTATTTAAAATGCATCTCTGGGTTATTTGTGGGGCATAGGAATTCGTTCATTTATTTTTTTTTCAAAATACAGTCCGGCCCCCCACAAGGTCTGAGGGACAGTGGACCGGCCCCCTGCTGAAAAAGTTTGCTGACCCCTGGGTTTGGGCCTGTGCACGCAAGCAGAAGAAGCAGCGCCAGCTGCCATGAGCAAACCGGCCACCTGCAAATGTGGGACGAGGCAACGTCCCAGCCGTCCAGGGCCATCCCGATCCCGCCCCCCCCAACTCACCGAGCTCGGTGGGCTTCAGGAGTTCGTCCAAAATGCTGTAGAAGGGGAGCTTCACCAGCTGAACCTCAGGCTTCGCCGGTTTGACGGGTAACCGCCCCAGTCCGTTTAAGTACTTCCCGTAGAGGGAGGGATAGTCAATGTTGGCGGTGGAGAGAGCAGTCCTGGCCACCGCATTGCTGCTGCGGTCGTAGGAGGAATGGATGGAGAGGGTTTCCTGGGGAGGTCTGTGCTGGGGCGCCTGCTGCTGCTGCTGCTGTTGCTGCGGAATCTGCCCTGCGTCGGAGAGCTTGGCGTAGCGCGTCTCGTAAATCTCCTTGATCTTCTTGAAGAGTTCCGGGCTGCAGTCAAACTGGACCAGCTGCAAGGCCCGGGTCACCAGTTCGTGTTTCAAGCCGCTCTTGCTCCGGCCGACGAACCCGAGCAACATCTGGAGGTCCGAGACTCGGAAACTCATCACCATGTTCTGCGGGCGGAGAGGGAGGGCAGACAGACAGACAGACATCTGAAGTCAAAGATAGCGAAGAAATCAAAGCACCGTTTATGGGGCTGGCAGCAAACGTTCCCCAAGATCTGGATCAAGGAAGGAATTATTAACCAGCCTTCCTCTTGCCGTGCTGCTTTGCCCATGGCTGTATTTATTCTGAATACCATTAAAAAATGTATTGTGGTTATAGCATTATTATACATTTGCAAAGACCATTATACATTTACACACACACAACCCCGCCCCCCCCCAGGTTTATGCCACAGAACAGACCATATGGGGAAAGCGTTTGGGGTCAAGTATCATGGTTATAAGGGACGCGGGTGGCGCTGTGGGTAAAAGCCTCAGCACCTAGGGCTTGCCAATCAAAAGGTCGGCGGTTCGAATCGCCACGGCGGGGTGCGCTCCCGTTGCTCGGTCCCAGCGCCTGCCAACCTAGCAGTTCGAAAGCACCCCCGGGTGCAAGTAGATAAATAGGGACCGCTTACTGGCGGGAAGGTAAACGGCGTTTCCGTGTGCTGCGCTGGCTCGCCAGATGCAGCTTTGTCACGCTGGCCACGTGACCCGGAAGTGTCTCCGGACAGCGCTGGCCCCCGGCCTCTTGAGTGAGATGGGCGCACAACCCTAGAGTCTGTCAAGACTGGCCCGTGCAGGCAGGGGTACCTTTACCTTTATCATGGTTATAACAAAAAGGTCTTACGTTCTCTTTATTCTTCTGGGTTTTCTGCAAACTCAGGAAGCGGCAAGTACAGAGGTGCCCACATTCAAAATACAGTGGTACCTCGGGTTAAGTACTTAATTCGTTCCGGAGGTCCATACTTAACCTGAAACTGTTCTTAACCTGAGGCACCACTTTAGCTAATGGGGCCTCCTGCTGCTGCCGCACCGCCAGAGCACGATTTCTGTTCTCATCCGGAAGCAAAGTTCTTAACCTGAAGCACTATTTCTGGGTTAGCGGAGTCTGTAACCTGAAGCGTATGTAACCTGAAGCGTATGTAACCCGAGGTACCACCTTGTCCGTCAGTACTTAAGAGAAGTGCTTTTTTCTGGGGGGACGCAGGCGTATGCATACCCCTAAACATTTTGTGAATCTAAGTTTGGCCTCATTGAAGGGCAGTATTTCAATATGAGTAGGAAATTGAGAGTGCCCCTAAATATATTTTTTTAGAAAAAAAGCACTGCTTAAGAGTCAAACCATTTGTCCACCTAGACCAGCATTGTCAACAGTGATTGGCAGTGGCTTTCTGAATGTGTACGCAATGCAACACACGCTCTACACGGTGCTCCGATCCTTCTCTCTGAAATGAACTAAGATTCCAGTCCTCATGGTTCCAAACGAAAGGCTGATTTAAGTAGGAACATCAGAGGCTACCTTACACCCAGTCGCCCTCTGCCTCTCTGCTCTGTGCCATGCACAATGTTACAAAGGACAAGGTGGGTTGGATCAAGGAGAGCATGCATTTGCTCCAGCAAACTCCTTCTCGCAGAGGCCACCCACAACCCCCGGGACCTCCCCACTTCGCAGAGATGCCCCACCATCACAAGGCAATGGAGGCGGGGCTATTGGAAGCCGATCCGCGCAAGGCGGGTAAGAAAACACCCTTCCTCTAAGCCAGGGGTCTGCAACCCCCGGCTCCGGAGCCGCATGTGGCTCTTTTACACCTTTGCCGCTGCTCCGGGGCGGATACTAGCGAGGGGAGGAGGCGCATTGTGCGCCCCGACACTCCCCACTGTGGCGGGCGCTGTACTGGCTGTGACGTCGCATGGGGGCGGTGCGTGCATTAGTCACGCACCGTCCCGACGTCGCCTTCCCGCCCGCCCGCCCGCTACATTGTAAGGGGCATGTACGCTGGTCACTGCATTGAAAGGGGGCATGTACGCTGGTCACTGTTTTGAAGGGGAGTGAAGAACACACACACACAAAAAGGTAACTTGTTAATTTAACATTTATTTCTATGAGGAGGAGTAATTCTGAGGGGTCAAAGAAAGAAATAATTTTAAAAAGTGACAAAAAAGTTATTTTTATAATGACGAGTTTTGCGCCTCCCAGCTTTTTTTCCTTCGGAAACGGGTCCAAGTGGCTCTTTTTGTCTTAAAGGTTGCAGACCCCTGCTCTAACCCCACACCAGTTACATCTTGCTACCCACAAGCAAACACGTGTGTGTCTGGTGGTGGAGAGTCATTCTAGCACTGCATGTTTACCCCTGCCTCTATTTCAACGAAACCAAGTCGCTTGCCCTCGTGGAAACGAGTTCGAAAAGCACACGGTGGAATTCCAGAACGTTTTCCTGCTTTTAAGCGTTAGCCGCAGGTCCCAAAGGTCAGTGGGTGGTGAATCTGCACTCCAGGGGCTTACTGCCCCCTTGACGCTCACGCCCTTGTGGCCAAAAATCCAGCCTCTGTGGTAGAACAGCTGGCATAGGGTGACGACCTCACTCCAGACACAGCCCAAGGCATTTTGGCACCCGAGGCAAACCAGAAAATGGGTGTGGGTAGGAGGGGTGAATGAAGATCAGGAACAAGGGGGGGATACAGATACACTCTGGGATCTGCTGTCCCTGTGGATCCTGCCACCTGAGGCGCTTGCCGCACTTTGCCTCATGGGTGGGCCGGCCCTGCCCAGACCCTGCACCTGCCAAACCAAACTGGGGACGAGCTTTACACATGGTAAGTGGCAAGCTCTTGGGTTGAGGAAACCAAGGAAAAACAGAGGGCGTAACTGCCGGTTGGCCAACCATCATCAACACCCTCCTGCGTTCACATTGCCTACCCAAGTTAAAGCTTGGGTGTGCTACGGTTTCCCAGGCAACCGCAGCTGGAAAAACAGCCCCAGGAGCCAATGGCACCCTGGACCCTTTCTCATTCCAGTCGCTCCAAGCCTCTGGTTGGTGAGAACGTGGTGCTGATAACACCAAGGCCGCAGGTTCGATCCCCGTATGGGACAGCCGCATATTCCTGCATTGCATTTTGTGAATCTAAGTTTGGCCTCATTGAGGAGCAGTACAGTGGTACCTCAGATTACAGGCGCTTCAGATTACAGACTCCGCTAACCCAGAAATAGTACCTCGGGTTAAGAACTTTGCTTCAGGATGAGAACAGAAATTGCGCAGCAGTGGCGCAGCGCCAGCAGGAGGCCCCATTAGCTAAAGTGGTGCTTCAGGTTAAGAACAGTTTCAGGTTAAGAACAGACCTCCGGAACGAATTAAGTACTTAACCCAAGGTTACCACTGTATTTCAATATGAAATGTGATCCTCAGGGTCCCTTTCCAGCTCTACAAGTTTATGATCCAATGAACGCCACTGGAAACCACAAGGGAAAACAGCCCCTCTGGGCCAAAGCTCATTGTTTCCCACAATGGCAAACAACAAATTCGTGAAGGAGGATGGAGCTCCATCTGGCATGCAGGGAGCAGGGGACTCTTAATCTGAAGATTGTGGGGTCTGAGCCCCACATTGGGTGAAAGATTCCTCCATTGCAGTGGGTTTGGCTAGATGACCCCTTCCAACTCTGATTCTATTACCTCTCTCTTTCCTCTACCAGCCGTGATGACTTGTATGCACGTATGTATCCATATGAATGCCAGTCGCAGGAAATCTCAAGAGGGAGAATTGCTGCTGCTGCCGCTGCCACCCTCAAGTTCTGTTTGTTGGCATCCTAAGGGTGGCATCTGGTTGGTCCCTGTGAGGATAGGATGTTGGGCTCGATGGGTCTTTGGCCTGAGCCAGCAAGGAAATTCTTATTTATTCAATTTGTACGCAGCCCTTCAGCTGCAAATCTCAGGGCAGCGCTCGTAATATAAAATTACAGCATCGAAACCACAAAATGCATAGTAGCAGAAGAAGAGTTTGGACTTGATGTCCCGCTTTATCACTACCCAAAGGAGTCTCAAAGCGGCTAACATTCTCCTTTCCCTTCCTCCCCCACAACAAACACTCTGTGAGGTGAGTGGGGCTGCAGGTGGAGGAGTGGAGACGCGAACCCGGCTCCCCAGATTACGAGACTACTGCTCTTAACCACTACCCCACACTGGCTCTCCAGTAAAAATAAGAATAACGCCGAACCAATAATCCCCGCCTCCACAGAAGATTTTAAAAGGGCACTGGATTGCTAATTAGCCAAAGGCCTGATTGCTAATTAGCCAAAGGCCTGATTGCTAATTAGCCAAAGGCCTGGTTGCAGGGGAATGTTTTCGCCTGGCACCTAAAGGTGCATAATGAAGGCCCTGGGGAGAGCATTCCACAGACGGGGAGCCACTGCAGAAAAGACCCCGTTCTCATGTTGCCACCCTCTGCACCTCTTGTGGAGGAGGCACACGAAGGAGGGCCTCACAAAATGATCTCAGGATCCGGGTGGGTTCATATGGTAAGAGGCGGCCCTTGAGGTATTGTGGTCCTGCTCCACTTAAGGCTTTATAGGTCAGCACTTTGAACTGGGTCCAGAAACTACCGTATTTTTCGCTCTATTGGATGCACCGGACCATAGGAGGGGGAGAATAGGAAAGAAAAAAAAATCTTGTTCTCCCCCTCAAAAACAAGGTGCGTTCAAAGTGCGTTCAAGAGCAGGTCGGGGAACAGCACAAAGGCTGTGCGCAGCCTTGCCGCTGCCCCCTGAGCTTGTGGGGCTGGCGGTAGGGGGAAGCGCTGCTTTCCCCCACGCCAGCCTCAAAGTTCCCAGTCCAAAGGCTTGAGGCTTCGGGGACAGCCTTTCAAGCCTCCGCAGGGCGGCGGAGGCTTTGCGCAGCCATCCCGAAGCTGGAACAGCGAGACGGAGGGCTGCGCAGCGCCCCATCTCTCTGTTTTGGCTTCGGGGACAGCAGACTGCTATCCGCAAGCCTTGGGAGCCCGGCAGGAACTCCCGCCGGGCTCCCAAGGCTTGCGGATAGCTGCCTAAAGCCTGGAGAGCGAGAGGGGTCGGTGCGCACCGACCCCTCTCGCTCTCCAGGCTTCAGTGAAAGCCTGCATTCGCTCCATAGGACGCACACACATTTCCCCTTCATTTTTGGAGGGGGGAAAGTGCGTCCTATAGAGCGAAAAATACCGTAATCAGCAGCCAATGCAGTGAAGCCAGGACAGGTGTAATATGCTGAAACCATCTTGCCCCGGTGAGCCCCACTGAATTCTACACCAGCAGAAGCTTCCGAACCGTCTTCAGATGCAGCCCTACGTACGGTGTGTTGCAGTAATCTAACATTCTACAGTGGTACCTAGTGTTAAGAACTGAATTCGTTATGGAGGTCCGTTCTTAACCTGAAACCGTTCTTAACCTGAAGCACCACTTTAGCTAATGGGGCCTCCTGCTGCCGCTGAGCCGCCGGAGCACGATTTCTGTTCTCACCCTGAAGCAAAGCTCTTAACCTGAGGTACTATTTCTGGGTTAGCGGAGTCTGTAACCTGAAGCGTACGTAACCTGAAGCGTCTGTAACCCAAGGTACCACTGTACTTTGATATCAGACATTTAAGCATCACCTGCATCACCAGCTCACTGCTACCTTTAACTGGAGAGAGTGGAGGCTGAAACCTGGACAACACCACATGCAAAGTAGGGTCCCTACCACCAAGTTATGGGTTGCTAGACCCACTGAAGTTAACAGGCCAAAGTTCATCCATGCCAATGGCTCTACTCCACCTTCGCCGCATCAAGTTGGTCCCTTACCTTTCCCGCCCTGACCTGGCCACAGTGATCCATGCGACGGTCATCTCCAGGCTTGACTACTGTAATTCGCTCTATGCGGGGCTGCCCTTGAAGCTGTCCCAGAAACTCCAGCGGGTACAGAATGCTGCAGCGAGGCTCCTCACGGGGTCTCTGCCATGGGAGCATATTCACCCAGTGCTTTTCCAGCTGCACTGGCTCCCGGTGGAGTACAGGGTCAGATTTAAGGTGCTGCTTTTGACCTTTAAAGCCCTTCACGGCCTAGGACCCTCGTACCTACGGGACCGCCTCTCCTGGTATGCCCCACGGAGAGCCTCAAGGTCCATAAATAGCAACACCCTAGTGGTCCTGGGACCTATGAAAGTTAGATTGGCTTCAACCAGAGCCAGGGCCTTTTCAACACTGGCCCCGGCCTGGTGGAACGCTCTGCCTCATGAGACCAGGGCCCTGCGGGATCTGATTTCTTTCCGCAGGGCCTGTAAGACAGAGTTGTTCCGCCTGGCCTTTGGCTTGGAGCCAATTTGATTCCCTCCCTCTCTTTCTTTTTTCCTTTCCTTCTCCTCCTGCGATGAGGCTACGTTTTAATATTTTAATGTTTCAATATTTTAATGTTGAATTTTAATTTTGTTTTTAAGTTGCAATCATTCAACTTGTTTTTATTATTGCTTGTAAGCCGCTCTGAGCCCGGCCTTGGCTGGGGAGGGCGGGGTATAAATAGAAAATTATTATTATTATTATTACTCGGAGTAGGGCTGGTGCAGCAAATCCTTCTTTGTTGCTGCTTCAGACGTCTGCTGGTTTTGTTCTTTCACAAGAGCAACACCAGGGGTATCTGCCAACCGTACCCTACACCCTCCAGTGCAAACGGACCTGCACAACCGAGTTACCAAAGCAGCAAGGAGGGCAAGTGAAGGAATACAGGCGGTGCTCCAGCACTTACAAAAGGGAAGATAATTTCGCTGGTTAAAACAACACAGCATGTGGACCAGGAAGCCAAATTGCAGCCCACCTCCAGCAAGCGGAACCTGCCAAGGACTCAACGGTCCTTCTTGTTTTGCAGCCTGGGAGCGAAACCAGGTTTATGAAGCACTGGGGGCGGCAGCGGGGTGTGTGGTGTGTGTGTGTGTGCTTGCCATACATGGATGGCAGGCGGCTGAGTCACAACTTGCACATGCCAACCACAAACACAGTGGCAGGCCAGGCGGGGTTGGGGCACTTGATGACTCGAGAGTCAAGAAAACAACTCTCTCTGCAGATCCTAAAGATGCCACCTTGGCGGCCCAAAGACGTGAAACCAACTTAAAGAATGCAACTCAGAACTTGGGACGGTTTCTGCAGCCCGAATCGCAAACGCTGAACGGGAAAGGACGCTCTAAACCTACAAAGGGTGATCTCTGAAACCGGTTGGTTTGTTTTAAAGAGTTTATAAAACTCTTAACATTTCGAAAATCTCTAGTCCAAAACACCCCAAGTGTTATATTTTAAAAACAGAGTCTAAAAGCAGTAAAACAGCATTTAAAACATATACAGTGGTACCTCGGGTTAAGTACTTAATTCATTCCTGAGGTCTGTTCTTAACCTGAAACTGTTCTTAACCTGAAGCACCACTTTAGCTAATGGGGCCTCCTGCTGCTGCCGCGCCGCCAGAGCACGATTTCTGTTCTCATCCTGAAGCAGAGTTCTTAACCCGAGGTAATATTTCTGGGTTAGCGGAGTCTGTAACCTGAAGCATATGTAACCTGAAGCGTATGTAACCCGAGGTACCACTGTAAAAGTAAATTATTCAAGATGTGTAAAGCAGCTGAGGGTTGCTGCCTCTGCCTCCTGTCTGCAACCCTACAGACCTGCTGCCAGTCAGTGTAGACAATACTGAGCTACACTAACCAAGGACTGACAGGTTAAGTCAGCTGCCTATGTTCCTTCACATATGGCAGAGGGAAGGCCATTCGATGATACTAGCAGCAGAAAATGCCCATTTATATAGGGGTTGTTACCTGCACCCTCGTAAGGAACGAGGATGGCGCTGTGGGTTAAACCACAGAGCCTAGGGCTTGCCGATCAGAAGGTCGGCGGTTCGAATCCCCGCGACGGGATGAGTTCCCGTTGGGTGGTCCCCGCTCCTGCCAACCTAGTAGTTCCAAAGCACATCAAAGTGCAAGTAGATAAATAGGTACCGCTCCGGCGAGAAGGTAAACGACGTTTCCGTGCGCTGCTCCGGTTCGCCAGAAGCGGCTTAGTCATGCTGGCCACATGACCCAGAAGCTGTACGCTGGCTCCCTCGGCCAATAAAGCGAGATGAGCGTCGCAACCCCAGAGTCGGCCACGACTGGACCTAATGGTCAGGGGTTCCTTTACCTTTACCTCCACCCTCACTCTTAAAGCATCAAAAACGAAAGCTGAAAGCTAGTGCAGCACAGCAGCTAAGACATGGGTTGGCAAACTAAGGCCCGGGGGGCCGGATCCGGCCCAATCGCCTTCTCAATCCGGCCCGCGGACGGTCCGGGAATCAGTGTGTTTTTACATGAGTAGAATGTGTCCTTTTATTTAAAATGCATCTCGGGGTGATTTGTGGGGCATAGGAATTCATTCATATTTCCCCCCCAAAATATAGTCCGGCCCCCCACAAGGTCTGAGGGACAATGGACTGGCCCCCTGCTGAAAAAGTTTGCTGACCCCTGATAAGTGCATGAGGTACAAAGTGATAGAATCAGATTGGAAGGCACCTTTCAAAGGGTCATCTGAAAGGAAGGAATCACAGCTAAAGAATCCCTGACAGATGGCCACCCAACCTCCGTTTACAAACCTCCATCAAAGGATAGCCCACCGCCTTCTGAGGGAGTCCATTCTACTGGTCAAGCCAATGGTCCCACGTAGCTCAGGACCCTCTACACAGCAGCCCTCCGTGATTTCAGACAAGAACCTTCTGCATGCAAAGCAGGTGTTCCGCCAACAAGCTATAGCTCTGCAACATAATACAGTGGAGCCTCGGAAGTTGAACGGAATCAGTTCCGGAAGTCCGTTCGGCTTCC